GAGACTACTAGAGGTCCAAATCTCTTGTAAAATTGTTCACCATATACTTCTTGATGTTCCGTGTAATCATTCTTGATTTGGCATCCCCGTCAAACATTCGACATAGAAACACCAAATCTTTAGACATGTAGGGCCTCTAATTCTGATTATGACACAATGTTTAACATTGACCCTTGCTGGTCGATACGATCCGTGAAGTTTGTTTCTAGTGGTCATGGGTTGAGATTGAAGGTTTTATGTAACTTTCTATGCCGGGTTCGTGTCTTCGAGCATAATATTAAGCCGTTAAGGTAAGAAACTGCCACACAAATGTTAATTTAATTATCATGACTCTTATTACCAGTTAAAGTCAACCTTGAGTGGTTATTTTCTTACAGCAGCCTTAACCATCAACACCATCTATAAGTAGTACAACTTATTTGTTTTCTATTAAACCACTTGAACAATACTTACCACACTGCTTTGATTACTAGTTGTCTACGTAAACAAAATACATAATAAATGGAGAAAAAAGTAGTTGAACCTAAAACCAATAACACCTTGTTCAGAAGCTCAATTCATTATACTGCATTAGATTTCAAGCCCAAGCATTAACAACACTCAGGGCTGGATCTTATGGTGATATGATATACTATATTATAGTAGATTTCTCTCTTTCACATATCTTCTTCATATTTATACCCTTTACCAAACAAAAAAAAGAATTATATAAAGATTTTAAATCAAGAATTTTCTGAAAATCTTCTACCCTTGCTTACTTTCAATCGAAGTCATTCTTTTAGGTAAAACAATAAATAGGAAGTTTCAGAATATATCCCCCAGCCTAACCGAGCGAGAGGCTAAAATGCCATAATTTAGGAAAAAATAGGCTCAGAATCCATAATCTAATAATTAATTTAATTTTGATTTTCTTTTAATAATGAAAACCCTGGAAAATCCTTGCTTCTCCCTTACTTGTTTCTTTAATTACAGTAATACCAGGGTTAAATCAACTCAAATCCAATGACCCATGAATATCCGCTCAACCTATTGATATTTCTATTTATCTCAAATAATTAAATAATTATATCAATATTTTATTATCAAACGAACAAAAATCTGTGTTCTTCTTCTCTTCGACGATCTTATAGCTTTTTCCAAAATCTCGCTGAATCTTCTCTCTTTGATTTATGGAGATCAATCCTTCGCCGCCGCTCCCTCCGTCTCCGAAACAGTGGTTCTCAAGAACGCAGATCTTCCAGATCCGTTGCGTCTCGGCTTCTGATTAGTTGCAGTTTGATTTCTCTCCGCCTCTCATCGATCACGATCTCCTTGTAAGATTTCTTCTTTGTGGCTCCTGAAATAACAACAATTTCCCCAGTATAAAACAGTATTGGAAGTCATTGCTGAAAAGATTTTTGAGAAATGGATTTCTGATTTTTGTTTTTGTTTATGGGACTCGTGAATGTGAAGGACAATTAGTGTTTCTGGAGGAAAAGTTTCAGAAGATGGTGTTATAAGGAGACTTAACATGGTTGAGATCAGGAAGAATAAGAGGGAGGAAAATTTGCGGAAGAAGAGACGCAAGGGGCTCTCGGTCGCAGCACAATCAGGACAAGATCTTTCTTCAGTGAAGCGTCTTCATTTGGTCGTCCTCTGTTTTGTGCTTGGTCTGATGTTTCAGAATCGTTAATGGTGGTAAGTTGATATAATCTTGATGCCATATTCAAGTTCATGCAACTTTCTCTGCTACCGCAAAGGTTACATGTCTGTCATGAATAAACACATTCACTTAGAATTTTTCACTGATAGTGGTTCAGATTATGGAACTCAGAGCAGCCATAATAGAATCAAATGATTCAAATGCGCTAAATCATATTCGAACCAGTGTTTCAGTTTATATTTTACGTGTTTTTGATAAAGGTTTGTTTCAGATTTGTAAATGCAGGTCTCCACATTGAGATACATACCCTTTAAACCAACAGTTCTCACTTATTGGCTTATTAATGGTGCAGCGATCAATATCAGCAATATATTGACTGGGAAATGCTTAGCTAAGATAACACCAAACAGTGGACCTCCAAAAGAAGATGAGAGTAGTCGCACTTGTTTAGAGAAGAACTCAAAGCAAAGAAGAAACGCTGTTGCTGAAGCTTTATTCTAGGACGTATACACAAGAAACAGGTTCATGTGTGGTCTAATTGATTTCACATCACATCATCAGCGTTAGCCATTACGAATTTTTGGCTGTATTTGAGATGTTATCTTGAATAGTTTGATAATGTTAACAATTTTATGATGAAAAAAAAAATATGATTTTGCATAACTTGTATTATGAAAACGTTGTAAATACATTACAATAGTAAAAAAATCCTATGAACAACTACAACATAATTATTTGTATCAAGGTACAACTACAAAAACTCTAAAATCGCAAAAGGAGAACTATTAAGAATTTTGGACAACTGGACACTTAAGTACAATTGGACAACTATGTACCTAAGTGTCCAGTTGTCCAAAATTCTTCATAGTTATCCTTTGGCGACAAAAAAATATGTGCGCAGTCAAAATAACATGTGCGTCGTAAGTCGTCAATTTTGAACATAGTTGTCCATACTTGTCCAGTTGTCCAAAAATTTTCTTTATATGTTTAATTAAATTAATTATTATTTTTTTAAAAAAAAAATAGCAGTTGCACAAAGTTGTCTTTACTTGTCCAGTTGTCCCTTGTTTATTCACATCCACTAAGCTAAAGAACACGTGCCCCGACAAAAATAGACACGTGCGCAGTCAAAGTACCACGTGCGCCGTCAATTTTGTACATAGTTGTACCCAATTGTCCAGTTGTCCAAAATTCTTCATAGTTGTCCTTTGGCGATTTTAGCATTTTTCCAGTTGTCCACATGATTTTCGACTATTGCAGTTCATTTACAAGGTTTCATGACACAAATTATGCAAAATCATAAATTTGCATCTTTTCCATCAAAAGATTGTTAACATTATGAAAGTCTTCCTTGTATCATAAGGGATGTTTGATGTGAAATCAATAATATGTATTAGGAAAATGAAATTTTCATTTTATCCATGTTATTAATATTGTTCCTTATACTTTAAGACGTGTTTGTATTTCTTAAGTATATACTTTCTTTATATATTTAATTTAGTTTAATTTTTTTTTATAAAATTAATGAGTTGCATATAGTTGTCCTTACTTGTCCAGTTGTCCTTTGCTTATTCACATCCACGAAGCTAAGTCCCGACAAAAATAGACATGTGCGCAGTCAAAGTGTCACGTGCGCCGTCAATTTTGTACATAGTTGTACCCAATTGTCCAGTTGTCCAAAATTCTTCATAGTTGTCCTTTGGCGATTTTAGCATTTTTCCAGTCGTCCCTTGATATAAATTATTATTTTGTAGTTGTCCACATGATTTTTGACTACTATAGTCCATTTACAACATTTTCATACTACAATTTATGCAAAATCATAATTTTGCATCTTTTCCACCATAAAATTGTTAACATTATCAAAGTCTTCCTTGTATCATAAAAGGTGTTTGATGTCAAACCAATAATATGTATTAGAAAAATGATTATTTCATATTATCCATCTTTTTAATTTTATTCCTTATAGTTTTTAACGTTTTTGCATTTTTAACTGAATGCTTTCTTTTGATTTTTATAATTTTATTATTATTATTTTCTAATTAAAGAATTACATATAGTTGTACAAGTGTCCAGTTGTACCTTGTTAATTTCTATCCTGAAAGCATTCTCAGCCAAAAATAAAATCCTCTATACTAGATTGACTTTCCTAAGTGTACAGATGTCTGTCAAAGAAACATGTGCATCTATGTATATAGTCAATTTTTGTACATAGTTGTACCTAATTGTCCAGTTGTCTGAAAATTTAATAGTTGTTCTTTTGAGATTTTAGCGTTTACATTGATTTTCAACTATTAATTTTCAGTTAAGAGGTTTTCATATTACAAGTTATGTAAAATCATATATTTTGTCTCTTTTGTTTCATAACATGATTAACAATATAATATAGATGAAATAAGTTATATGCTCTAAATATGAGATAGTAAATGATATAACATAGATAAAATTTCTTGAAATCCATTGAAATGTTTGTGTGGTTGATGCTCATTATCTCTTGAAAATAGAATAAAAGAATTCTCAATTAGCAATTATTCAAATTGTTTTAGTTATACATATTTTTACTAGTTGTTATCTATCTCATAGTTGTACCATTTGTACTAGTTGTCTTCTATTTTTTAGTTGTACCATTTGTACCAGTTGTCTTTTATCTCTTAGTTGTACCATTTGTACTAGTTGTCCTTTTCTGCAGATTTGGTGATGAACTCGGGTTCTAATTCTAATCTACCTAAAAATCACAGAGATTCAACAACTAAACTCCATAAATTACCAATGCAAAGACCTAATAATCACATAAAACTTGGTTACCAATCCAATTTGCATACTGAAACAAATAATTTTCACAAATCCAATACCTAAATTGTGAAATCCCTAAATCCCTAAATAAGAACAAATCACCCAGATTTAAAGCTTCAACAATGGTAGAGGAGAAAGGATATAAGAACAAGAAATTAATTGCAGAGGAAGAGGAAAAGGAGACGAAGACAAGGATTCGACGAAAAAGATGGATTTAGCTGGTTTTCAGATTTATTGACGACAAACTATCGGGAAACAAAATGAGCTCAAGAAAAAAAAACCAGAAATTTAAAAAATTAATTATTAGTGTCAATTAAAATTATTTAAACAATAACAAATTTGGACAATTTCACAAATGCCACAAGAATCTTTCATTAAGGGTAAAATTGGGAATATACATAGTTTATGGCATCCAGACTCAGTTATGGCACCTAAGATTTTTCTTTTCCAAATTATGGCATTTTAGCCATTGATTCGCCTAACCTTAAACCCTTATACTTCCCTTAAGTAATTTCTCATTTTGACTCCAATCCAAAATAACCAGGAAGATAACAAACAACACAAAATGAAAATCCCATTTCTAAACAAGAAATTTTCATCTTCATTTTCTTCAAATAATTCAAATTCATCATCATGGGCGTGGCCTTCTTGTCACCAAAACCCTAGAACCATATCTTTCAGAGCCACCGATATCGCAAACAACCTTAATGACGTCAACGAGGAGGAGGAAGAGAAGCCATTTCCTGCCATCATCTTCTCCTCCTCAATCTCCTCCACCTCAACCACCGTTGACACCATAGAAGAGCTGCCGGAGACCGAATCCATAGAGAATTTGATCAAAGGGATAAAACCATCAGAAAGACTCATCTTTGAACGAAAAGGAGAATCAAAATCCATACTCGAAGAGAAGAGGAACCATGATTCATGCTCTTGTCCTTGGAATCAATAATCTACATTTTCTCTAATTTCAAGTGATTCATGGTGGAGATTTGGTTGAGGTACACACAAATCATCACGGCAAGAGAAGCATCCAAGATTAATGATATGTACTCGATAAGTCACGAGAGAAGAAGTAAACATTCACTTGACCTTTTTACTTGGTTAGAATAGTGTGTAAGAGCTGCGTAGAGTGATTGATGCGCAACAGCGCGATTGTCTTTGGAGATTCTATCTTATGTTATGTGATCAATTACTATATTCTTAAGCGTATATGACTCATGCTGATAATAGCTACGGTACCTTTTTCAATGTAAAATTAATCTATTTTGATCCCATGCATCATTAAAATTAATCTATTGTTCTTTGGTAATCCTTAATTACTTCCATTATTTTGTATCCTAATAGAGAGAGGAACCATGCCTTCCTGCATGTATTAAAAAAAGCATTTGCCTTAAACCGCCAATTTTTTTTCTATTTTTAAGGGTCATATTTTTATACAATTACACTAGACCTTGTTAATGGATTTGGCTTCCGCTTGACGTTAATAATACATATACAAATTCATGTTATACAAATCATTACCAAGCCGCAGTTGGCTTCCGCTTGACCTTAATAATATGCACTTCATATAAATTACATTATGTTATATATATACACTTAAAGAGTAATAACTTTAACAAAACGCAATTATTTTACTTTTATTTTGATTTTTAAAATCAAATTTTGTTGAAAGAAAAAATAGAATATTGCTTCAAATGATAAGTTCAAATTAAAAAAGAAAAAAAAAATCAGAATAAAAGACTATATGTTATAATTCCCTTTAGACCACTATAAATCTAGGCAAGGGCCAAGGAGAGAGGGAGAGGCATTTTAGTCTGTGTAGCATATGCATTATGGGATTGACAATGACCAAGTAATATCTCTAATTTAGTGTATTTTTTATAAAACCGAAGGAGTTCTAAAACTTTCGGTCCATAAGCTTCTCCAAAACCCGAAATCAAATTTTCAAATATTTTGATAAAGAATAATCATCCGTAATAAAAGATCTTGAACCAAGACACCAAACAAAAATCACTCATCTTGTATTACCATTAGGCCACCTGCCAGGCTGCCACCACATGATGTTTTTAATATCAACACATGAACCATCAAATTTTTGTTCCAAGAAACTTAATTAATTAACACAATTACATATGCATGTAAATAGTAAACTAGTAAAAATAATTACTACATATCTTTCCTTACTGCTTTATAAGATAGATTCGGGATACCATTATGTTTGTGGATGCCAAGTAGCCACACGAGGGAATACGTGAAGTAAGCAGACTTTTGTCTCTTCTGAATTCTCATTATTATTATTTTTTCTCACGTTATTCATGATATACAACTTTAAGTCTGATTCGTACCAACATTAAATTATTTATGGTTGGACTCAAATCCACAATATCTAAGCTTAAATTTTTCTTGAACCCGATCAATCCAATTTTCTTTTAGAGATGTTCGTATAATCGTATTCAAGCCGGGCCAGCCAAGCCGATTGCTTTATATATTAAAAAAAGCTGTATCAGATTGGGGAAAGATATATGAAATAATCTTTACTGATATTTCAGCTGAAGCGACTGCTGCGGAACTAAATTTTTTTTTAAACATCGATGTCATATCTTTGAATCTTTGATAGTTGGTTGGTTCGTTCAACTGTTCGTTGGGTTTTTGTTTTGTTTTTTATTCTCTTTATAATTCATTTGTGCTAGATTTTTTGTTTGGGATACGTATACATGCCTATATGTACAATATTTTAATTCGCATTACAACTATATTTTCGTACTATACTTAGATCTTAAACATTACACGTCATATTAACACTTAACATCTATCAAAAGGTCCGGCATTTAACGTTTAATCAACATATTACCAAATTTATATTCTCTCCGTTTCACAAAAAGTGTACATTTTTCACACATATTAAGAAAATTATTAAAAGTATAACTTTGTCTCTTATTAATATATTAAATAATTTGTTTTTATCTAATAAATACATTAAATTAATAAGGTTAAAACTGGAATATTATTTAAAATTTTTCATTGAAAATATAAAACGACATTCTTTGTGAAACAAAAATAAAATCTTAAAATGATACTAGCCCGAATCATTTTACTTAACTAATGCAATTTAGAAGAGACTAAAGTTTACCATCTTTTCACCCAAACAAAATAACTTTTTAGTTATCAACGGACTATTTGATTACTGTTCTTGGGGTCTGGGGATAATTTGATTTCTAATGTCACATTGGTAAATGGTAATGTGTTCAATTTTTTATGGTATACTGTTACCGAATAAGTGCAACTTCTTTTTGTTTTTGTTTTTTTTTTTGTGAAACAAGTGCAACGTCTTCAAGACTGCAAAAATTTATTTTCTTGATAAATAATTATTATATTATGATCATGATGGATATTTTCGGCAGGTACAGCTATCAAGTTTCAACTAATTGTTTTGGTGATATTGCAGAATTAATTCATTTTGGAGATCGTTTCTATCTATACTTTAATAATATCTGTCTGTCAAGCTTTGAAGGAAAGTTTAATCAAACACACTGACATTAGCTTTTGGCTTTTGCATACACCTAATTCAGTACGTTCTTACGTTCCATATATACGGAATTATTTCGATCCACTTCTTAAAATTTAATGTAGCCTATTAATCTTGCTCGTCTTTAGAAATAAAGAGTACGATCATCCATCGACTTTGATGACTTTGATGAACTTTAAGCAAGTTAGAGTGCTGATCAACAAAGATTTGTCTGAGAAAAGATATCTAATCAAAGTGGTCAGTGCAACAAGATAATTATTTGTGTTTATCAAACAAAATTGGGTAACTGATATTATATTTTCAGTTATTGAGCAAAGAAATTTTGAAAGTTTTAAAACGCCTTTTTCAAATGTAAGAAAAAAATACTTAAATATACTGCATCAATAATCCAATCTCATGCAAATTTAGTTTAGTTTTGAATTGATTTATAATTTTAGGATTAATCCATGTATTAAGGAAATACTGTTCATGCAATGATTTAAAAATTCTTATATACTTAAATTTTGGATATCAACTATCAAAACTGTTGACAAATAGTTAATACGAACAGATCTTAACCGGGAAGTGTACTCACAAATATTTAATGATCCCCAACCAAAGAACAATAAAGTTTGAAGCCAATAATTAAATACAATAACAAAAAAGGGACAACAAATCTAAAATAAATCTAATAAAGTCTATCTTTTAGAAACAGACCCACCCATCCTTTCGTGCACCATCTCCTCCCTTTCTCAAAAGCCTTAAATCATCCTTCCCTCTCTCTCACCCATTAATCCCCTAACTCTCTTTCTGAATCCAACTCCAAAAGAAAAGAGAAAAGCTATATTTGTATATATTGTTCTATAGTCTTATTTTCTCAACGATCAAACAAGTAAAAAGAAAATGGTAAAGAAAATGAAACTCCCATTTCTAAACAAGAACACTTCATCTTCATCGTTTTCTTCAAATTCATCACATTCTTCTTCCTCATGGCCTTGGCCTTCTTGTAATCAACAAAACCCTAAAAAAATATCTTCCGGAGTTTTCTTCACCGTTAACAAACCTAAAAATGTCTACGAACCCGAGCCACATTCCCGCAGCTTCTCCTACTCCTCCACCACCGATGACGTCATGGAAGATCTACTGGAGATAGAGTGTATAGAGAATGTGATTAGAGGACTAAAATCATCAAAAAGACTCACATTTGAACGTATAGGAGAATCAAACTCTGTACTCGAAGAACCTACTAAGAAAGAAGAAGAAGAAGCTCATGATGAAGAAGAAGACTTCATGCTCTTGTCTTTAGAATCAAACGATCCTTACTCCGATTTCAAGAGATCCATGGAAAATATGGTTGAATCACGCGCGCTTCATCATGACTGGAGAAACCTCGAGAAACTTCTTTTCTTGTTCTTGAAAGTCAACGTTAAGACAAGCCACAAATACATCTTCGCCGCCTTCGTCGATTTGCTCTTTCACTTAGCAGTAGGATTTTCTAAAGACGTCGCCGGAGAACCTCGTCCCGACATCGTTCAGGAATCTCCGTCGTCGCCAATATCGTTTTACTCTTCCTACTCGTCCTCCGATGACACCTCGTCGACGTCTCTACAGGGCTTGCCGGGGCTTTCGATAGGCGGGAAGAGCAGGGACGGTGTTTGAGATGGAAGAGAAGATTTAAGACAATCTTGATTCGAGTGCTTATTTTTCTTTTCTTCATTTGATAATTATAGTCACAGGGAAAGAAAAAAAAAAAAAATAGTTATAGATTGTCGATGTTATAATGCAGGTAATCGCTTAGTAGAGGTGACATCTTTTTAGTTTGTTAATTTTATTGTCAATTACATTTTTTTTATTACAAATTCTTATATGCTTCACCACTGTCTAAATGGAAGATTATCTAACGAAGTAATTATCTAACGAACTAATTAAAGATTGATTGAAGATTATTTGTAACGTAATCGTCTTGGTCCTGGAGCTTCATGGCGAAATAAATACACCACCAGAGCTCTGGTTTTTGGAAATAAGTAAGGGTTTGCAATCGGCTGTTTTTGAGGATGATATTGAGAGCATTATGTATTTGGAGTCCTAAATTGTATCGTTATAATTTAATCGTTTACCGAGTGAAATTTGCATTAAGTTAGCTTCTAATCCATCTTGGAGATGAATGGTGTTTCAAAGAAAGAAGAGAAATGTGATGTATATAGCCAAAGACATGACTCAAGCTTATGGGTGCTGATACGTTTATATTATATTTATAGACGTTTTTACAATAAACTCTATTCGTACTCGTTTTTAATTATGCATGTCTACCGTTTGTATACAGGAGTGGTCATTTGACGAACAAACGCACACAAGTTTATTATGAAATTGCAGTATTGATTAGGTTCATTAGGTCGTATTATAGTTTTATTTTCCTCGTTCATCTAGATTAGTTTTGTCCATCTGCCCGCCAAGGAATCCTAAACATTTTTTGCTTGTTCATTTGATTACTAAGTCGTCGCTGATTGATTCCTGAGAGAAATTTGTGATCGACTGATTGAGGGAGCTGAGAGCATGAGAGCTGTTCTTCCTTTCTCGGATAATCTGGACTCCGAGATTTGGAATAATTTAAGGCCATAGGACCGTAGCATTAGCATCTTTACATTTATCTAAATTCCAAAGATTCAAAAGTGTGTATATATATATATATATATATATATTTATATATTTTCTGAGAGTTATGTTGTCTGTGTTTCCAAAACAAGTGTGAATAACATGTATCATGCATGAATTTTTTTTTTTTTTGGTTAGGTTAATCAAGGAGTTATGCTGAAATTCATACGTTTTTCGTCAAGAAACATTTTTCTCTCTCCCAAGCGGAAATTGAACTAAGGGACGCGAAAATGCACAATCTTTAATTATATGGTCCGATAATTTTTGCCTAATCCAATACCCACCTAGATAAAACGCATGTAGTAACTATTTCAAGATAAAATTTACTTAGAAATGGAGTATAAAATTTAGGAATGCCGGCGACGGTAACTGAGTAAACATCGCTCATGAAGACTCGTGCCAAGCTTGGCCCGCAAGTTCCAGGCCCCAAACAGAAGCGTACGTATTACGTGAACCTCAAAAACCTTCACGATTTGTTTAAAAAAAAAGGAAAAAAATGGAAACTGAATCATGTTAAAAAAAAAAAAAAAAAACAGAGAAATTATGTGAGAATCATCATTTCTCAGTAATCATCTCTGTTCACTTATAAAGTACATTTTAAGCTCTGAAGATTTTCCTAGGAGATGGGAAGAGGCGGAGGAGAAAATCGAAGATTTCCGAGAAGAGGCGGAGGAGAGAGGAGGAGACACGGCGGAGGAATGAAGGGTTAGAGGAAGGAGTTGGAGTAGAAGGCTGAAGGTAAGCGCAAGCGGCTTGCTTTACAAGGCGATTGCGGATCGATATGGTGGGAACCGCCGCAGATGCAGCGAAGGAGACGGCGGGGGAATCCACGGTGGTCGTGGTGGAAGGGAGGATGTCTTTGAGGGAGGTGTAACATGGAAGAAGATCATCTGAGGATTTGACTGAGATTAGTTCTAATAAGTCTAGGGTTTGTGATACGACGCCGTTTCTGCGTTGCTGAAGAGAAAGCTTCATCAAATTCTCAGCCTCCATTTGTGAAGAGAGAGTGAGAAGGGTTTTGTGGATTTTGGAATTTTGGATATGAGTTATCAAGTTATATATCATCAATATATCATGATCATCATCATGTTACTTTTTCTTTCACTATTAAAAAAAAAAAAAAAAAAGTCAAATAAGGACTATATTGCAAAGCGTGTTAATATTATATTAGTATCGGGACCTTGTCTTTTGTTTGTTATTTATTTATTTGGAATTGGAATCATATAAATAAAATAAAAAGTATACTGAATGAATTGAAAAGGAGAGATGTAGTGGCCGTGCTGGATGGTTGGCAGCTTAGACGCTCCAATCTCGACTACTTTACATTTTTCAAAGAAAAACAACGACCATGTTTTATCTTTATTTCATTTTTAAAAATGAGTGTTTTTGCCTTTTGGTATAAATTATATTATTTCTAACGTTCAAAAATATAGAAAACACAAGCTATGGAATGTGTAGCTAAGTCATTCCACTATAATTAGGCATTATGAAAACTTATTTAAAATAAATAGGTTCCACTTAATTCGGATAAGTTTCTCTAAACGACGACGATATGGCGGCACATATTTCACGGAGATTGTTGAATAAAGGTCAAAGGAAACATCACAAGAAAAGGGTCAAATAGGAGCGGCTTTGACTCATGTCACATGAATATCCATGTCCTTCGCTTTTTCTTTCGTTATCACTTTTGTCAATTTAGTCAACCTACAATTAAAATTCTTGACATTCGTTCGATGTTCGAGATCTTGAGACTATATATTTAGCAAAAAAATCTTGAGACTATATAGAAAATTAGAAACTAACATCAGCTCGATTATCCTAATTACCAAGATAATGGCACATCACATATTTCACATGTTTTTTGTCACATGTTGCTTCGACCCTTTACGCCCTGCAGTCAATTATATCCAAAACACAAACGAACCTGGTCCTATCAACGTTTTGTGACCAAGACATAACAAGAAAACATCACTATATCACAAAATAAAACTTTGTTTTCTATTCAATATCTCTCTCGAGATTACAAAAAATTACGTACTAAAAATATGACCTCCCCAAAATGATATTTGTATCATATATATAACCTCTATCCGATTTCAATTTCTTCAGTTTTCGAAGCAATCATTTTAACTCTTTTCTCACACTATAACTTCAATTTTTCGGCGGATTTCGTCTTTACCAATTAGCTGTATGATCTTACTTCTTTATCGATCCCCTTTGGAAAATAAGTTAATCTCTTTGGAGTTGGTCTTTTAGCAGAACAAAATGTGAAATGCTTATGATGGTAATCAATCTATCTAAGGCTATAGAATCACCCACACATATCTATACGATATTAGATAGTTTCCTACTTTCCCAAATTCTCTATTTTATTTTGGGCTAAGAATTGTAGAACACCTTCCTTATCTCGGTCTGAAATAAAAATGGATTATAAAACTTCTCACTGTGACTCTAATATAAGGCGGATCCGAAACCTCTTTGGGCAGATTATTTTTGGCAACGGATGACCCTTGCATATTGTAAGTTGTGACACATGTTTCAAATTAGCATTTTATATGTGTTTTACAACTTCTTTATCGATGAGCTCAGCTGCTCAGACTTGGTACATTTGGTAATAAATTATATATCTACAGTTACGAGACGACGTTTCCCACTAGGGTTGGGCCGAAAAGAGATACAGTTGAAGATAATGTCTCAATTAATTAAGGCCCTAAAGCACCTCCATTGAAGGATAATAAGAGGTTGTTGGCACAGTTACATATATGGATCAAGCTTTAAAAAATATTAAAACAGCTCCAAAACTTAACATACAGTCGTTTAATTAACATATCGAGAGAAGGGTTTATGGACAACGTGTCTGTATTATATTGGCTGCGTATTAATTTTTTAATTATTGTTTATTATTTTATATCATTTCATTACTGTTCATCAAACTTAAAAATATTAATAAAAAATTGATATCTCCAAACATAATATGACCGCTGGAGATGCTCTTAGCTCATAGTTCAATTGAGTGGTCAAATATAGTTCATAGCCCCATAAGGTCGTAAATTAACTGAGTTGTTAAAAAAAAAAATGTATACCAAGATTAAATTTCGACTTGGTCCATATTGTGATGGTAACTGTTAACTGGTAAACGATAGTGATAAACTGGGTAACTGTTAGCGTCATGTTAAGACAGTTTTGTTCGTTTTGTTATTGCTAGTAATGATGACAAACTATAACAATCAAATCTTCTCTTCTAGTGGTTATCGATTTAACATGTTTCGAACACTGGTTTCTCAGTTTCTGTTACCAATAATTTATACACAGGAAGGTTAAGGTATAATTTATATTTTTACTCGAGCGTGGAGGTGACGTCACCATGTGATGCAGCGTCGACCACCGCTGGTCCCACCAGGTGTACCTCGGTTAATTCACGTGCTTCCTAATTTCCACGGACAAACCATTAATCGTTTCCCAGAATTTTTTGTTGTTGTTATTATATTTTGTTTTTGTCCCTTTCGTTCGATGCACTGATATTTTTCTTTCCCGTGACAATTCAAAATCTTACTTCCTGTTTCAACACTTTTTTTTTTCTACTTAATGAATCATATATATTTGAAGTGAAATTAAACTTGAATTCCAATATTTAAATGTAGTTCTGATCGATAAGTCTTTGTTAGTATAATAATCCTAGAAGAAAAAAGCTCATTTTATAAGAAAAAAAAAATACATTTCGCCGTTTGCTTTTATTATAAAAGGTACTCTGTTGTAAAAACTTAGAAACTTTATTAATCACTGGAATGTATATATAGAGTACATAGGGAATCTAGGTTAAGTATAATGCCCTGATGGGCCTAATGGGCCGGTATAAGAGTCCATATATGATATGTGTTATAACACTCCCCCTTGGACGAGTGAACCGGGTCAGCTACTCAATCGGGATCTCGATAATGCGCTGGGGAATGTTGCCTCATTAAAACCTTACCAGGAAAAACCCAGTGGGACAAAACCATGGTGAAGGAAAAAGAGTACAACACGCATTACTCCCCCTGATTGTAGCATCACTGCAGATCTCTAAGTCTATACATTCCTATCTGTTTGACGAGCTTCCGGTGTGTTGAAGTAGGCAATAATTTGGTGAAGAGGTCAGCTGAATTCTCACTGGATCGGACCTACTGAACGCTGAGAGTGCCGTCCTTCTGCCAGTCTGAGGTTGAGAAGAACTTCGGTAGAATGTGCTTCGTCCGATCTCCTTTGATATATCCTTCCTTGAGTTGAGCTATGCATGCCGCGTTGTCTTCATACATCACCGTGGGCTGTGTGTCTTCGTCCATACCACAATCTCTGCGGATGTGCTGAGTCATGGAGCGCAGCCAGACGCATTCCCTACTAGCCTCATGAATGGCTAGGATTTCAGCATGGTTTGATGAAGTGGCAGTGAGTGTCTGCTTCATTGATCTCCAAGAGATGGTTGTTCCTCCATGCGTAAAAACGTAGCCAGTTTGAGACTTGGCAGTGTGCGGATCTGATAGATATCCTGCATCGGCGAAGCCGACTAACCCATCTTTATTTTGGTTAGTATAGAAGAGTCCTAAGTCTTGAGTACCTCGAAGGTATCTTAGGAGATGTTTTATACCGTTCCAGTGCCTCTGAGTTGGAGATGAACTATATCGAGCGAGGAGGTTCACGGCGAAACATATGTCTGGTCTAGTGTGACTAACCAGGTACATTAACGCTCCTACAGCACTGAGGTATGGCTTTTCAGGACCAAGGATTTCTTCATCATCCTTTTTGGGACCAAGAGGGTCATCACTTAAGCTTCTAACTACCATTGGGCTGGTCAATGTGTGAGCTTGGTCCATATTAAATCGCTTGAGTACCTTTTCGATATAAGTCGATTGATGCACAAGGATTCCTCCTTTGATGTACTCAAGTTGTAATCCCAAACAGTACTTTGTTTTGCCTAGGTCTTTCATTTCGAATTCTGCTTTTAAGCAGTCGACTGTTTGGGAGATCTCACCAGATGTTCCGAGGATGTTTAGATCATCCACGTATACTGCTATGATTACAAATCCTTTGTTTGAGTACTTCTTGATGAAGATGCATGGACTGATGGGGTCATTTTTGTAGCCTTCTTTGATGAGGTAATCGCTGAGGCGGTTGTACCACATACGCCCACTTTGTTTCAGTCCATACAAGGATTTGTTCAGCCTGATGCAGTATTGATCTCGAGATGCATTTTTGTCTTTTAGTTCAATGTCATCTGGGAGTCTCATATATATTTCGTTGTCCAGGGGCCCATAGAGATATGCGGTTACAACATCCATTAACCGCAGATCAAGATTTTCTCTTATGGCCAGACTTATGAGGAATCGGAATGTTGTTGCATCCACCACTGGAGAATAAGTCTCCTCATAATCGATTCCGGGTCTCTGTGAGAATCCTTGTGCTACAAGCCGTGCTTTGTATCGAACGACTTCACCGAGTTCGTTCCTTTTGCGCACAAAGACCCATTTGTGGCCCACTGGCTTGATGTGTGATGGGGTCCGGATGATCGGACCGAACACGTTTCTGAGTTTGAGACTCTTTAACTCCACGTTTATGGCTTCTTTCCATTTTAGCCAATCTGTTCGATGTGTACACTGTGTTATTGACGTGGGTTCTAGATCCTCTTGCGTGAGCGCAACATCAAGTGCTACTTTGTATGCAAAGAGTGCATTTAAGTCGACTTCTTTTCGATTCCATTGTATTCCGGACATATTGTAATTGATGGAGATCTCATTGTTATCTTCTGAACCTGGAGATTCGGCGTCCCGAACTTCCATTGAGGGTTCATTAGATTGAGTCTCAGCCGCGGCTATGTCTGATATTGCAGGAATCCCGGTTTCAGTTATTGCACCTTTCTTTGATTTCCGGGGATTCTTATCTTTGGAACCGAGAGGTCTGCCCCGTTTGAGACGTGGTGCAGACTCTGTAGCAACTTGGGTTTGTCCCGTTGGGACAGCTATTCGTACT